CTTTGTCTTCAGCGATTGTGTCAGGAAGGTGAGCATCATGAAATGGCAGTTTAATAGAACAAAACATTTTTGCATTGAGGGAGCACTTGAGTGGAGGCCCAATGTCCATCTGCTACCTTAATACTAAACCTATACATATATGCACATAGATCTATTTCCCTATCCTCATATATAAATATATTTGCATATGTATATGCCTTTATTTAGACCTCTATAAATGCCTTTTGCCTTCTAGATCTTTCCTCTATTTCCTTTGACTTTCCTCTTGTCCCACTGTCATGTTCAGCCATACAACAGCTAATTAGTCTACACCGCAGTGAGGAAGGAGGGCTCAGTTCAACTCACTTGCATGGGACAATTCATATACTGAAGGTCCTTCCTACTCATAACAGTGACTAGTCCAAGGTCAAGGACGCAGACAGGGAAGTGGCTGGCAGGAGGGTCGGAGTCTGCCTGCAAGCAAGATGAGCAGAATTGGCCCTCAGGCAGCAGGCACAGCAAGGTGGGGTGACAACAGCAGGATGGTTAGAAGTCAAGGCATAGCAGACAGAGGTCAGTAGTGCAGCAGGTCATGATGGAGCCCGAGGACATAGTGATGGCAGCACATCCACCATGCTGCATGTGTTGGCTGGGCCCATAGGTAGCACAGCACACAGTTGGGGCAGAGCAGCTAACTCAGGCAGCAGCACGCTGGTTCGATCACCGGGGGAAAAGAAAAAGAGGCTGGCCTCAGAGAATCATTTATCTAGTTTGCCCTCCAATCAAGCTGCAACCAGATTGGCAGGCTAAACTCCACCCACATGTTCCTACAGGAGCCACGTAGGCACAGAAACCTAACCATCACACTACGCCTATTCAATCTGCATGGTGAGCAAATAATCTGACGTGTTGGACTATGAATAAGAGCACAACACCAAGATTGGAAGAAGGCTTATTAACAACCTGCAATGTGCAGGTAGCACAACGTTGCCTCCTGAAATCAAAGAGGACTTGAAGCACGTAACTATCAACAGCTACAACCTTCAGTATGGATTACATATGAACATACAAAAAGCAAAATTCATCACAACTGGACCAGGAAGCAAGACCACTATAAACGGAGAGACTATTGATGTTGCTAAGAATTCCATCAGCTTTCATAAAGATTTACAGCTTTAGAAACACTACTAGGGGGCAGTTCTACGCTATCCTATGGCGTAGGAAATGAGTCACTATGACTCATAATTGACTCATTTTGCCCTCAAAATGGGTTTGATTTGGTTATCATTATGTAGTGACCTTTTACTGTTCATGCATATGTTTCACTGGGTTAGAGTCTATTGTATCTAATGTTACCATAGACACAGTGCAATGCTTTGGGTAGCATGTGCTTGCTATAGCCCCCTTCCCCGACTTACTTTCATGATTTTACATGTTTTAGATGTACCTATCAACTACTTAGGGGCCCTCATTGCTCACCAATTAAGCAATTG